GAGGGAGAGATCGGGGTGCACCGCAGTTAACACGCTAAGCCACGCATGAATCCGTCATTAATACTGCGAGTTCGCTCGTCTCCGTGATTGTCTACCTCGAACGTACGCCGAGCTGTCAGCTGGCAGTTCGGCTCTCTCGTTTCTCTTTGGAATCCGATAAGAATTGTTCGATCAAGCAGCAGAGGGAAAATCTAGGTACTTACTTCTCGTCCGCTAGCCTGTTCCTGTGCTGCGGCTTCGAGTTGTCTTTCTCGTACAGCTTCTTCCCTATTCCACCGATTCGTTGAGGCGTCTCTCTCAGAGCGAAGCTCTTCGCGTAGTGACCCAGGTGGACGTCCTTCCGGTTGAAGATCTCTCGCATGTCGCGGGGGTAGCTCGAGTAGAAACGTATCCACGAGGTGTACGCTGAAAAATATCGAGATTCGTTTATTCCACGGTGTAAAGGGAATAACGAGTCCCGCAAATCGTCGTGGAAACCATAAAGAATTGACAAAGTCCCGCCCACGTGTAAACGAGGCCACGTGCACCGTAACTCGGATGTAATCATTGGCTGCGTGTAGCGCGCCCTTATTAATCGAGCTTCCATTAAGTTCCACGGGGGGCAGCGTACGCGATTCTATGGGGTGTGTGGCCGACGGTGAGCTATTAAGAGGCATTAACAGGGGTCGAGTCAAGTGCTGTGGCTAATAGTCATCCCCCTTAACTTCTCCAGCTTCCGCGCGCTCGCGCGCACGCGGGTGAGAAACTCGGGGGTTCGCCGATCCTGAGAGAACTTGACATGTGCCAGTGTTACTGTCACTCCGTGCGAAAAATCTACCGTGAAGTGCTTCTCTGTCTGCTCTTTTGACGGATCGAGATGCTTGAGCTTCTCACCCTCGCCCGTTTCCATCCGAGCTGAAAGCTACGATTATCGATGTCAATGGCTATCTGAGAATTCTTTTTTAACTTTCGTTCCGGCATAAATGAACATAACGCGTGGATTTTTCGCGCGCTCGATTAAAAATTCGAGCGCAGAATTTGGTCGCGACGAATATTTTTATCGAGGAGACCCGCGAGTGTCTTGAACTTCGATAATTCACGTGGCAGACCTTATGTTTTGACATTTTCCGGCTTGATTTCCGTCTGCCTTCTATCTCGACTCGACGTTTCCGCGCATAAGAAACTTGCAAAGATCTTTCTTTCGTGGCCCGGTGTCGACGTTGAAAAGGGAGAAATGTTTTTCTCCATTTAGCGCATAAATCACCCGCGGGGGTGGTATCTAGCCGAGAAGGCAGAGAAGCTTGGGTAGGGGGTGCAAGAGTGGGTCGCGTGGGGTGGCATTGTTCCTAAGTGATGTAACTGCGTCTTATTGTATTTGTATCCTGTATCGCATTGTTAAGAGTCTCTCGCCACAAAGCGTAAGTGGTTTTGGCGGAAGCCACATTCAGTGGTTGGATTGTGTCGGGCCACCCCCATGCGAAAGGCGTGCAAGCGGTCTACACTCTATTCGATCTAACTCGCCGTGTACCCTTTACCCGTTGCCTTATAAAAGGAATTTTACTAAAACAAATATACAAAAATTATCATTCGTTCGAGTCGTAAAAAAACGTGTTCCATTGAAAAAAAAAAAAAAAAAGAAAAATGTATATTATTTACGGTGTACAATTTTATCGAGTTTAAGGTTGCAAATATGAACATCAAAAATATAAACAAGTAAGGAAAATTATAAATTTCTATGTTTAATAGAGGCCGTGGTCTATCGAGAATATTTACCAAAGTTAGAGTGAAAAGACTATAGGTGAGAACTGGTATAAAGGACGACACATATATACGGCGTGGAGTGGATGAATCTCTTTGGTTAGTGGTGGTGGTGGAAGACCAGGGGGTTGTTCCATGGACTTGTGTTCGCTATTGAGGGCTGTTCGGCTCTATTGGGGTGATAATGTTACGAATTAGCAAGATTTCCACTTCTACGCACCCTGCCATGACCCTACATCGGTCACGAATTAAATTCTGAGGGTTGCGAAGAACGGAGATATGACTATAGGCTGCTTGATACTTTTGCTTCTTTATTTTTATATTTTTCGAGTGATTGCGAAAATAAAATTACGCTTTTACTCGGGAATTACAACCAGTTCTCGTTCGTGTTCGTCTGTTGCTTCCACGCCCTTTCTCTATTTCTCTGTCACATCGCACCCCC